GCGGCGTGTCTTCTGTGCACGCGGTGGTTCGAAACGGAAGAGAAAGGAAACCATCCCTTGAACCAGAACACATGATGTATATTATGCCAAGGTTCATCTTTTACAAGGATTGAATCCATCTGAAAAAAAGAGAAAACACCGATTCCCGGCGGTCCTTTCATGCCTCCTGCTCTGGTAAGCTGTAAGGAAGCTCAAGATTTTACCCTCCTGACAATCGCGACGAGGCTTGGGCTTGGTCAAGACTCAAAACAACTGCGTTCACCGGCATTTCGCAGAAATATCAAACCACGAATCAAACAATACCTTTCAAAAGCCAAGCGGCTCTAAAAAGGTTACACCTTCCGAAAACTCACAGATTTGACCAAGATTGCGCTTTTCTCACAGACTTGACCAAGAGGTCAGAGGCAACCCACACGAATGAAAGCCTCCCGGAGCCTGCCGGATCACCAAATGGAAGCCTGCTCCGCCAGCCAAGCGTACTCGCCACTCATCCTCTGGGTGACGAGAGTCGCCGAAGATCACCTGCGTAGACCCACAAGGCTCTGACAAACTCACAGTGTCTTGAAACATGTTGAAAGGGAAAAGAACGAATAATGGAGTCAAACATGATGAGAAAGGCTAATCGGTTCCACACCGTAGTCATCTGGTTTTGTTCAGAAAGTCATGATGTGTTCGAAGAGCTCATTTCAGCATACGAGTCACATCAAATCCAATGCTCACAAGGCTCGGAAGCTACACACTTCACACAAGAAATCTATGCTGAAGATTTCAATCCTGAAGGGTGCTGAAGAGGGTCAATCCAGCACTCTATCCGACTGTTGGGAGACTCCAAAGAGCTGTTTGGAGTCATGAGTCATAATGGTATCATGAGGTGACTGTTTTGGAAGGATTCCAAATAGACATGGAGACCCCAAACATCTTCCAGGCACTGCTGCAAATCACCAATCCAAGCCAAGAATACAAGAAAAGAATACAAGAAAATTCAGCCCTTGAATCAATGAGGAATTGAACACAGCAACAGATCCTCCCAACCATCAGTCATATGATGTCACGACTGTGACATGTGGGTCCAAACCGGGACAGGTCGGACACCCACGTGACCCGGGACACGTCCGGGAGGTCAACGGCGCTTTTCTCGGGCTCCCGGGTGCGGGCCTTGTGCAGCTGGAGCACTTCGTGGAGTGCCTCGAGTCCGATCTGAAGAAGGTGCATCGAGGGAAAGGATGGAAAGGAACGTTCAATCAGTCCATTGAGCGTGGTCCTTGGAGTTACAAAGACATATATTATATATACAACATCATTATATAGATTCATATTATAGAGAATATGTTGTATAGCTTGCTACCACTACCAACAACTTCCGAGCCTCATCTCCTGCGATCTCCACCGAATCCATGCAGCCGCGTGCACATCCCTCTGATCCACCAACGGCTCCGAAGCGGCGACAGGAGAACCATGTTAGGGCTCCGGACTCCTTTGTGCTTATTTACGAGTAGAAGTGCTTTTAACTACCCAACTGGCCCATTCTCAAAAAACCTCACCTTTGGGTAATCTTCTGCTCAAAACTGTGGCGGTCATATCTACCACCGAAACCCTCACACCGGGCTCCCAGGCGCGTGGCCGGGCGCCGGTCGCGCCACGCGCCGCTGGGCGCGGGCCGCGTGAGCGCCGCCGCGTGACGGCGGAGCGGCGGAGCGGCGATGGAAGCGGCGATGGACGGCTCCATCGGATCTGCAGGGATTGTGACAGAAAAGAGGGAGGTATTGATTGACATGAAAATATGATGAAAGAGTGAGCTGGGAATAAAAGCAACCGTCTTGACAAGGAGCTGACATGTCTTGCATGGTGTTACGGCATGCTGGACCGTTTTCAGCATGAGATCAGATTTCTTGTTGGACCGATGGCTTCTGGACCGGCCGAAGGTTTGAGCTGCAAACGCTTTGGAACAAAAACAAAGCTGCCTTTTGGTGGACAAAGCGCTGCAAAGCAGAAAACATTTCCAAGTAGAAAGCGCTGAAGAAATCAAAAGGCACTCCCGGTCCTGATACTCTGATTGGAGACGACAGGCCTGGCCACAACCGGCCCACACGTGGACGAAATGAAACTCCGCCGAAAGGGCTGTGGGGCGCAAAAGAAGACCCCCTTCCGTCTTCCGTCATATCACCATGTCTCCCCTCTCCCCTCGCTCAAGTCTTCCAGCAATTGCTCGAGACCAGGGTGACTCATTGCTCTTTGTTCGACGAAGGAATGGTAAAGGGAATCGCTACTAGGAACAAGAAGCTACTAGGTTGGAGGCCATCGCTCTTGGGGTGGAGGCCATCCCCACACGCGCGCACAGCGCACGTCGCGCGGTTCTGCCTGAGCATGTTCAGTCTGCCAGTGCTCGACCGCTTTCTGCAGCGCTGTGTTCTCCTGTTCCCTGGATTCGGCAATGCTCTTCGCTTTCTCAGCTACCTCCACAGCTTCTCCATGTTGTGCTTGCCAGGTGCTGGCAACCTGCTGAAGCTGGAGTGTTTGTTGGTTGGACTCCCTCTCGAAAGATTCTTTTAGACTACGCTCTGTTTCCAGTGCATCTTGCAACTGCTGAATGGTTGCATTCAGTTCTTCTGCTTTCGATGCAGCCTGACTGGCCTCGGATGCCTTTCCTTCTTGAAGTGCAGAACATTCGGAGCGCGCTCTCTCAAGCAGTGAGTTGAGCTCTGCCATTTCCTCCTTTGCCTTGGCTTCTGTTGCTTCGCCTCCTTTCACTGCTGCTGCGTGCAAATCTTGAAGCGTTGCAATTTCCTTTTGAAGCTCCGCTGCCCTTGCTGCTGCATCGGTTTCTTTTTCCTTTTGCGATCTAGTCTCTGCAGCCAAAGCATCTTGCAACTGCTGAATGGTTGCATTCAGCTCTTCTGCTTTCGATGCAGCCTGACTGGCCTCGGATGCTTTTCCTTCTTGAAGTGCAGAACAATCCGAGCGAGCTTTCTCAAGCAGTGAGTTGAGCTCTGCAATTTCCTCCTTTGCCTTGGCTTCTGTTGCTTCGCCTCCTTTCACTGCTGCTGCGTGCAAATCTTGAAGCCTTTCAATTTCCTTTCGAAGCTCCGCTGCCCTTGCTGCTGCATCGGTTTCTTGTTCCTGTCGTGATCTAGTCTCTGCAGCCAAAGCATCTTGCAACTGCTGAATGGTTGCGTTCAGCTCTTCTGCTTTCGATGCAGCCTGACTGGCCTCGGATGCTTTTCCTTCTTGAAGTGCAGAACATTCCGAGCGAGCTTTCTCAAGCAGTGAGTTGAGCTCTGCAATTTCCTCCTTTGCCTTGGCTTCTGTTGCTTCGCCTCCATTCACTGCAGCTGCATGCAAATCTTGAAGCGTTTCAATTTCCCTTTGAAGCTCCGCTGCCCTTGCTGCTGCATGGGTTTCTTGCTCCTGTCGTGATCTAGTCTCTGCAGCCAGTGCATCTT